CTGGATTTCTGCTGTAAAGCTGCAGTCGAAAAGATACACAGGTTTAGTTTTTAACATTTGATCTGTTTTATGCAGTCCAGGTGACAGAGAAGACAGCACTGCTGTCCATGTACTTCCAGTGGATGTGTTTAGGGGGAAAATAAGAAAAACAAACTTTAGGCCATTTCCTTTTAAACCAATATACCAAACTGCAAATTGTCAAACGTAGCCTATGTTTTGTGAAGCCCTATTCCACCTCCTAGTGGGTAAATTAAATCACTGTTTATAACCTTCTCAGTGAAATTTTATATTTATGTCTGAACTTGTGGTAGAAATTGTATATTTCCTTGTGAATGAATGAACAAATAAATACCTTACAAATTGTCTTATATTATTAAAAATAAGAATAGCAGAGCACGGGATTCAGCCAAAGGGCAGAGCCCCTACACTAAAAGGGTGATCAGAGAGTCTGCCCAGAGAAACAGACTAGAACATTTAATGCTAGAGAACAAATGCGGAGTCTACGAGAAAAGCCTTCATCAGCGTTCAGCCACAGTGGAAACTCACTTCTCACCGGAAAGGAGTATACGTCAGACAAAACAATATCATAGATGTTCAATGTATCAAAACACTGACTAAAACCACATAAGATGAGCAAAGTACATAAAGGTATCCAGGTAAAATATTTTTTCCCATCAAAGTAATGAGCAATAGACCTTGAACATGTAGCCATGAAGTCCATCAGAAACAGTTAAACAATCAGTTATCTGTGACTTAATAGCTTTAGTTTTTTTCCCCAAAGTGTCTCTTCAGTACATTGGATATTGTTATTTTGATTTGATTTTGCTGCTGTTGCTATCAAACTACGATTCATAATTCTGGCAGTGCACTGTAACAACACTAATATATCTACCTTTTCCAATATCGTGGTCTTAGTAACATTTGCTCATTTTATGACCAGAATAAATTGAGAGAATAGGAGGGAATAAGAGAAGAAATTATGCTTTTAGATTTGATGCTTTTCAGCAAACAACAATGTGAAGAAACAAGGAGAATTTGGGCTTCTGTGTGTGAAGACTGTGGGAACAGTGAGGCTGGGAAGCCGTTCTGAGCCATGTGAACAATTATCACGGACTGAGCCACACTTGGAAGGAATGTTTGTTTTACTTCCCAGAGTGTGTCCCTTTGAAATTCTTTAAAGATGCATTGTATGTAAAGAGTTTTCTAGTACATTTCCCCCTCCTTTTCACTTTAACTTTCTCAGACGCATTCACTCTGTAACACACTCTCAACAGCTTGGCTAACGATTGGCATTGTGAAGAAAGCTGTGGTATTTTCAAGGCTCTATAAATAGCATAATTTCCCACCACTGGCTGCCATTGCCCTCACGCAACACATGAACACTGTGCCCATTCAGAAGTATTGTATGGGCTAAAGCTGCTGTAACAGATGTGGAATCAGTAACCCCAGTCACCATGTTAGGAAACTATAAAGTGGCGAGTGTCAGAGACAAACTACAAGGCCTACACGCCTGGAACACTGTGCCGATTCATGCCTTACACATACAGGAAATGTCAATCTCAGATTCCTGCTTGGAACTTTACCTAAGGCATTTTTGCTTCCCCTCTCACTTCTTGCTTTTCTTCCTGCTCATTCACTTGTTCTGTCAGTCTCCATCTGTTTGTCCCAGCCCCTCTTTCCCTCTCCTCTGTGCTGGAATGTTCGTCTCAGCAGTTTCTGATGAAAGTGTGGTTAGCAGGGCACTACTGTGTGCGTGTGTCTGTGTTTTCATGGTTCATGTGTGTACATGTAGTCTCCAAAAACGGGACAGGGGAGGAAGACCGTCAGGACAGGAAAAAAAAGAGACACACTTGGATAGGCTGGAGCACTTCCACTGGGAATTACCCACCCAGAATTTGGGTGGGTAAGACAGACGGGGCTCTTCCAGCCCTGGACAGCTGCTGAATGTGTTATAACAAACCAAGTATATGCACCTGGTTCAGTAAACTCTGTGTAACATCAGGCTCTGGTCTGTGAGAAAACAAGGCTACTGAGATGAACGTGAGGACTGTGCATAGTAAAAACATGCGTGGGTTATAGTGGTAATGTGTTGATATTTCTTTTAAATATTAAAATTACCTGTTGAATAATGCTGAGCATACACAAAAACCCAAAGTGTTTAAAGGATAAGTTCACATTTTTTCAAGTCTGTCTTAAAACAATACTGACATTACTATATGAACACCGAAGGGTTTTTTGGTTGCCATAATTGTTCCTCCTGTTCATACAGGTGATGAAAGTGATTCTTTCCCAAAGTAATTTCAGTATAAGAGACTGGGTACAAAATCCAGTCCTCATTCTTTAAAACAGTTGAAGCTAATATGAGGCTTCAGCAGTTAGTCAAATCAAATGGTTATCTAACAAAGACAGTGTTTCTCTGCTGCACTTTGGTGGAAGAACATTGAAAGAAAGAGGAAGTCTTGTATAAAAATAGCATGTGACTCTGGAAATTACCCACTCACACCAATTATGCCTCATTAGCATAATCTGAACTTCAGAAAGCATTCAGCGTTTATTGAAATCACTTCAGGGGGAAATTTTATCTTCACAGCCAGTATGGACTAAAACCCTTCAAATGTTCATGGTGATGTCAGTATGGTTTAATGATTCGTAGTGTTTTCTTTTGTTACAATAATGATAAATCTTGAAGCAACAAAGTGATGTATGGTTAGAAGGTTTGTCATTTTATTTTAGTATAGACCTGAGTTGAATCCCTTTTAGGCATCATCTGACCTGGTAAAATAGATCTGACACGACCTTCTCTACCAGCTCTAACGATGCTTTTCTGCATCAATGTTTTTCAGATTTTTTACTGAGTGGGACAAACGACATTCTTGCCATTTGTCCAAGGTAATCTCGCCAGTGATTTAATTTTTAGCCATGAGTCACAGTCATGTCATTGTTATCCATGTGGACTTAAGAGCTCACTTTTAGATGTTCTGGCTGGGAACTCTGCATCAGTTATTTAGTTCATTGACATCAGTCCATGACAACAGTGCATAATGCTAAACTTTCAGGGAGGGCCAAAGAAACCATTTAGAGGGGTTATGATGACTATTGGACAGTTGGTCTATTGCAGACGGGTGGGAGAGCACATACAGGAAATGTCTCTTTGGTCGAGCAGCTAAAGTAAATATCACACAGTTGGCACTCCAGAGAAGCGCCTGGCTCTTTACCCCCTTATACCAAATTGTCTAGATTTTCTTTACTGTCTGTGTAGCTGGAAAAAAATCCAACAATGTCACTCTTGTGGTGCCCACACCCTTCTTATGGTGCCAAATTCGTGTTATTACCTGTGGTTACAAGGGTTTCTTGTTTGGACATGGATGTGAGGTTTAAAGAAAAGATTCACAATGGGCTCATACATAAAATCTAACAACAGACGTGTTATCTATAAAGTGTTCGCTGTAATAATACGGAGACTGTTCATGTGATAAGCTCAAAAAGACTTTCAGGGTAAACGTGGAGAATCCTTTTCTGGCCTTAATTGTCAGCATACGCTATAATTGTGAGTCATCCAAAACTTAAATGATTCACCATGGTTACTTTTGATATCTATTGGATTCGGTGCTTTGTTTATGCAGCACACTGGGCTGTGGTGTATTGTCTCCATTTGGTTGTTTGGTTGTTGTCCTGTCCACAGGCGCTGACACGTGGACAGAACAACACTTCTGTGGAAATCTCAGAGGGGGAGAGGGTGTGTGTGTGTGTGTCGGGGGGGGCGACTCCTTTCCTCCTTTAGAAGTACTAGATTTATATCCCGGTGCTGCAGCTGGTTAACGTTAACCCTTACACTCCTGCAACTCTGGTCACCTTGCACTCAAATACACACTGCATTTTTCCTGTCGTCACTGCACAGAAATGCCACTGACCCACTGGATGATTTACTGTACAGTTCTTTCAGCATAATTTGACATGAAGTACAAACTGAGTAAATACTGCTTGCAGTCTCTATCTTTATATGGTCACTTTTTAGAGTCATTTTGCCTCTGAAATGTAAGCAATAAATGAGTCAAGGATACTTGCAAGAATCATGTAACAACAGATATTCTTGGAAGCAAAAAAAAAAGATATTTCTCACCTCTTTCATATTTTGCATTTGTGCTGCTTTTATATTCTAATCTCTGCATTGTTATTGCCTTTGTTGTGATTCTTGATTGTGAAACTGGGATGTGACAATGCAGCATTTTTATCTTTAATGCTCCCTTCCAAGAATAAGTTATAACAAACAGGAGAAGTGTGTGAGTACTCTGCAGATTTTCTTACCACATACACGTCGCAATGCCGGCAACAAGCATTCAAAGTATAAATACAAATTTTTCATGGAATCACGCAGCTGACTGTGTAAAGGTAACCAAAAGCAACTTGTCTGCAGCATGTTTTTTAAGAACTACATGCTCACTGGAATAGACAAGAAGTTGAATCATCTTCCACCGCTTGGCTTCATTTCCATTGGCTGAACATCAGCCCACCTCCAGAACCCCAACAGACTGTTCCGGTAAGTTCAAGCCTCTTTCCAGATTATTACACACACAACACAGACTTTTTCCCCCAACATAACTCCCATGCAACACACACACATTCTCTTTATCATACAACACATCTACAGACGTTGTCAGTGTGTGCGCACATTGAGAGTGACTCTCTTGTTGTCTGTTAGAAACACAGATAAGTCTAAAGATCCATGTCTTTCATGTGGTCAAGGGGCATAGCACATAAATGATCCCTGCTGATTGGCCAAGGCTTTTATCTCCCAACAGGAAGTTCCTGAGGTCTTCCGTCACTAGTCCCTCTCAATCTGTGTTTCATTTGGAAAAAGCCACCAAAAGCACAATATTTACATGCGGCCCAGCTCTTTCTCTAAATTAAAAGAGCATTTTGCAAAAAATTTCAACAAGCAGCTTGTCAAAATGCTTCTTTGTACCAAGACGTGATGACAACCAAAGAAAAATCTCACTGGCTCTCACTTACTGGTCTTTATTCGTGCGCTTTTTGCTCTTTGGATTTACATAATAAGCACTTCAGGAATATTTTTGTTCAGCATACACATAGTAGCACCAATCACATCCATATTGTTGGGTTGTTGTTGTTGTTGTGACAACCTGTTGAGTATACAGCACTCTGACAGAAAGGCACTGATAAAACAGTATGCAATGTTGAAATGAGATACCCACAAGTGTTTCACTCCGTCATGCTTCATTAACTGTTCCGTATAGTTTGCTGTCATACAAAAACACATAAAAAATATATACTTTATAAAGGCAATGAAAAGAATCCCCTGTGAAAACAACTGTCATAATGTTAGGTTTTAGTTTGGACAGTACCAACACAAATCTCCAAAATGTATGTTAAGGCCATTGTACTGCAGTGGTGGACAAAGTATTCAGATCCTGAAGTAAAAGTAATACCACATTGAAGTACTCTGTTACAATTAAAAGTTCTGCATTGAAAATGTTACTTAAATAAAAGTGTAATCAGGAAAATGTACTTAAAGTATTAAAAGTAAAAGTACTTTATGCAGAAATATGTCCCCTGTGGCTGTTTTACTTTTAAATATTATATAATCAGATTACTATTCCTCATGTTGTTGAGCTCAAGCTCCTTTTGAACTATTTAGTAACGGACTGCAGCTTGTGATTATTTTCACTCTTGATCAATCTGCTGATTAATTTCTCCATTAATCGAGTGATTGTTTGGTTTGTAAAGATTTTGCCATCACAGTTACCCAGAGCCCAAATTGACACCTTCATAATGCTTATTGTGTCCAACCAACAGTCCAAACCCTTATTAACAAACTTTGCAGTTATTATAGACATATAGTCAAAGCAGAAAATCTTTATATGTGAGAAGTTGGAAAAACAAAATAGTAGCAAATTAATTTTCTGTCAACCTACTAATTGTTTCTGCTGTACTTATAAACTGTTGGGTAGTTTAATTCATAAACAAAATCATATTTTATAAACTCTTCATATGTTTTGTGTCTAAAAAGCTTAATTTATAATTAAAGTAACTAAATATGTCAGATGTAGTGAAGTAAAAATACATATTTCCCTTTGAGATATAGTGGAATTGAAGTAGGCTAGAGAGTAACTTGAAAAGAAAATATTCAAGTTTACTCAAATACTCAGGTATTTGTATCTGTACTTAAGTACAGTTCGTGAGAAAATGTACTTATTTACTGTCCACCACTGTTGTACTGTAACCCTTAACACGTATATAGGCTACTGCTAGCACATTATAAGTCCCTACAGGAATATTGAGTGATTCTTTATGAAGGACACTTACATTAAATTACTTGGAAAAGGTGGCGACATGGCCTTAACTACAACTAGGAATCAAACACATGTCACTGACTATAAGGCCACAGAGGGATGACTCAAAGTGGAAAGTTTGGTGTTGACAGACAATAGAGACAAACCTGTGATTAGAGTAGCTGTTGAGTTAAGTTATTACAGTGAAGTTAACTATTCCTCATCTTGCTGTGGATGCCCCCCCCCCCATCTGTTGCCATCAACCCCCACTTCAGTCTCCTCAGATGACCGTCTGTTCTCCCCGACACTTCCTGCACGCCCCATAAATAACCGACAGGATGAACGCCAGGCAGCACAGGCAGGCGAACACGGCGGCAGTCAGGTAGACCTTGTACAGACAGGGGTGCGTGTACTGATCCAGGTTGCAGTACGAGTTGCGGTCCGTCTTGTAGATCATGATTCCTATGGCCGGCAGGTAGAGCACGGCGGCGGCCACGTCGTGCGCCAGGTTGGTGAACAACCAACGCTCCCCTCCCAGCAGCGGGACGAGGTCCTGCTTCTCCAGGAGTGTGAGGAAGAAAAGGGCGAGGGTGAGGAGCCAGAAGAGGACTGCGACGAACAGGACGAAATGGATGGATCCTTCGTATTTGTTGGCGGCGATGGTGACCCACAGCCCGGCCCCGAACACAATCTGCAGGATCCGGACGATTCCCAAAAAACTCTTGAGGAACTTCTGGATATTCTGCCTCACCTGCGGCTGGTGAGGTTGGGGTGACATCTCTCTCCTCCGGTCACTCTCTCCCTTTTCCCGAACAGGGCGGGTGCTTTCTACCAGCTGCAAACAGCTGGGGAAGAGATGGGCAAATTGTGGAAACAACGGGGAGGAAGTCCGGGTTTGTGGTCTAACGATGAAGCCAAAAGTGGACACGTTTAGGTAATAAAAAGGAACTCCCTGTTCTTTCCACAACCCCGGGGTTTTGAAATGAAAAACCTTCTTGTATGTTTCGTCTTTTCCGTTTCCTCTGTTGAATGTAGCGTCTGTGTTGGGGGGCTGGGTGATAGAGAGGGGGCGGCCTGTAATTCAAAGCTTGCTCCTCCTCTGCTGGACTGCTGGGTCCATCCATGGCCGCTCATCTCGTGATGTATTTCCTCATGGTGCTGTTTCCCCTGGGCTGCGTGACCTTTATGATCCTGTCTTTTCTGAGAGAGGCCGTTTTTATGAAAGCCAAGCCTATAGGAGACTAGGCTATATTAATATGATAATGTAAACTTCAATTTGAAAATGTAATTCCACAATAGCATTATATGTTTCCACATATGTAGGCCCTGTGTGTCATCTGAGTTAAAATGCAAAAATACAATTTGCAATTTAATTTTCACAGAATCACATAGAAATTCTATGACCATATTAAAATGAAAATGGAAAAGTTGGACCTTGCTGTAGGCAGGGTCGTAGGAATAGACAGTGCAGCTGCACTGGGGGCCCGCGACAGGAGCATTCCCGCCGAGTTACGATCAGGAGAGAGAAGTATCCAATACATTCCATCAAACTCATTTTTGACAGCTATTTCCGGTCCCCCCACCCCACCGGATGTCTGTATGTAACTGATAAGAGGGGGGCATCCGGTCCCGCCCCAACCGGAAATATGGCTGTATGTAACTGATAAGAGGGGGTTCATCCTGTCCCACCCCAGCCGGAAATATGTCTGTATGTAACTGGTAAGAGGGGGTGCATCCTGTCCCGCCCCAACCGGAAATATGTCTGTATGTAACTGATAAGAGGGTTGCGTACATCCTTCCATTGTGTGTTTTTCATTGATTTAAAGACTTTATTAAGTAATACAACTTGAATGAATTAACTAGGAGGTGTTTGTGACAATAAATTTATCATTAAAAAAGTATAGCAGTGAGTTATAAGTAAAAGGAGGAATCTCCGGGGCCAGCAAAGGATCAGTAGGAGGTTTCTTTGGAATCAAGTCAGTCTTTATTATTAAACAAGTGAAGAATAAATTGAAATAATGACAGCAAAGCAGTAAAATGGTATAACGGTGAGTAAAAATTACCTTCAACAGCATGCAGCAAAATAAGAGTGAGTTCCAAAATTAAACTTTGTAAAATCTTTGCTAAAGCTTTGTGTGACAAACTTACCATCATTTAAGAACTAAAGAATAAGATGAAATAATTACAGTAAAATAGTATAACAGTGAGTTAAAATTAAACAGCATTTTTTAATTACCTTCAAAATCTTTGCTAAAGCTTTGTGTGACAAACTTACCATCAGTAAACAAGTGAAGAATAAATTGAAATAATGACAGTAAAGCAGTAAAATGGTATAACGGTGAGTAAAAATTAAACAGCATTACAAATTACCTTCAACAGCATGCAGCAAAATAAGAGAGTGTTCCAAATTACTTTGCTATTGCTTTGTCTTACAAACTTGCCATCATTATCACTCCAAAGCTGTAGCCTAGTCTTAAACTTGTGAGTCTTAAAACTTTAATCCTTCTAGAGTCTGTGTCTCCTCTTCTCTGTCCTCTCTCATTCTGGTGTAGCATAGGCTGTGGGGTGAATTGAGGAATGTGCTCCACCCCCCGCACCTCCCTCTGTTTTCTCAACGAGTCGTGTTGGGGAGTCCTGGAACACCTCCCTCTGTTTTCTCAACGAGTCGTGTTGGGGAGTCCTGGAACACCTCCCTCTGTTTTCTCAAAGAGTCGTGTTGTGTGTTTAGCTGCCATCCTCAGGTAATCTTGTAGACCAGTTATTAACTTTGGTTATCTATAACCCAGACTCCGGATGTTAAAAAAACGGTCTGGTTTTATCAGACAGAGTTCGTGAGTTCGTTTTTGAAACAGGAAGCTATTTTTATCAGCCGGAGACAAGAGTTTGGAACTAAATAATAATCTGGTTGTACCAGAAGTAACGGCCCCAACCCCTCATCAGTTATCTCCCACATGCAGAGCAGCACTCGTGTGTTTTTTTGTTTTCTTACTTCTATAAGTACCCTACCAGAAATCCAGAGGTCTTCACACTAGTGACTTGAAACCAGAGCGATGACCCTTCAAAGAGAACACGGTACGCATTCAGCCTTTCCTCCACAACTAAAGAAATAGCAAAAATCGACACTTTGTATTTTCATTCCTGCGTGTTTTCAATTAACAGTTTTTGACTTGATCGACAATGGGCTTCATTCAACCGAATATCAACTTGAAGGTAAGAGGGCCTTCTATGTACTAGAGTGAAATAGAAATGTTCTAAATTTAAAAGTGTACTATCCTGATGTGTATTTTGTATATTGTTTTTACAGATTTGTACTCAGGCGAGGAAATAGGTTCTACAAGGGAGAATGGCATTCCATCAGCGCAGGTTGTAGATCTCACAGGAGAAGTCGGTAAGTAAGGTTACCTTAACTTTTAATCAGTGTGTAGGTTTTATTTATTTATTTACAAACTTTTACGCAGATGTGGTAACAGTACTCTTTTCTTTCATTACACCCACAGATGGTGCGAGCGATTGTGAACGGTACTTTATGCAGGGTCTCTCCCCTACCAATTACGAGGAGAACGGTCCGGTTCCGGAATCGGATCAGCCCTCGGCTTCGGTACCGCAAGTGTACATAACACCGGGCTCCCCGGAACACGTTGAGCCGGATTTGTCCCCGGAATCACCCGTCGATGATGTAGAGCGCTCCAGTCAGGCCGCAGATGGGAGGTCACGTAACGGATCACCGGTAGAAGCGCGGGGACTGATAGCGGAGGAAATCATTCATCCGGACCCAGCAGAACCGTGTACGCCGCTGAATCAGACTGAGCCTATACCGAACAACGGACCTCGGAAAAGGGAACACCGTAGAAGGCTCATTTCAACCAGCAGCAGCAGCAGGAGCAGTAGTAGGAGCAGCAGTAAGTAAATTGTTATAACGCTCTAAAACCATTAACCTAGCAAATATGCAGTCATAAAAAAAGTATAGCCTATATACACAGTTTCCCGTGATACCATGTTGCTGATTATTAGGCCATACAATTAATGAGTTAAAAGTATTCCACACTATTTTCTCAAATACAACAGCATGTCAAATGTTCTATGCAGAAAGTAGTCTTATGAGTTAACCTGACTCTAAAAGCTATTTTGCTTCTTTTTCATAAAGTAGGCTATTACTGTGGTGTTTGTTCGTTTGTTTTGCACTTCTACAGTGTTTTGGTACTGATGTCTGACATTCAGGGTATTTAGTTAAAAAACTTTGCTTGTTTGCTATAAAGTATTAATGTAGTGATTTGTAGGGGTGATGCCTGACTTTCTGTATTAAAATACACAAAAGAGGTTAAAGTGTCTTTGTTTTTGTGTCCCTCCAGCAAACAGACCCCGACGATCCGTGAGAGGCTGTCAGAATTGCTGTCGGACTGCCCATGAACAACTAGTTCTAATGAGTAATGCTTTCCGACTAATGGGTGAAATGCTGGCTGTCTACAGTGATCATAATTAGTAAGGTGATTTATCTGAATTTGTTTTAAATGATTTTTTTTGTTTGTTTCATTTGGTAATTGTTTTTATTGTTGATTTTCACTTGCAATAGTTAGATAAACGTGTTTATCCTGTTTTTTATAGTGTCTGTTTTAAGGTTTAAGTGTGTTTTGATTTTATGATAATGGATGAAAACAAACCGTTAGGGCTTAGGCAGAGTTTATCAGACGAGGTAGATCGACATTATCAGAATGAGTCAAACTTTCAAAATGGTATAACTGAAAATAGTGTAATTGAAAACGAGACCTCCTCCAGTCAGTTCTTAGATCCGTTACACGCTATAAATCAAGCTCTCGTTGATCTGGAACGCTTAGAAAATGAAATACCAACTGCTTTATTAGATGAAATCAACCAAATGAATGAACCCTTTCACCAAAACAACATCCCCTCTTTACCCGAACCCGAGCATATTCCTGTCTTAAACTCATCTGTGTCTCCAGACCTGTTGATTCAAATACAAAATGCTCTCTCCGAGCTTGAAAATAATGCAATCCCTGCCTTAAACCCCTCTACATCCTCGACCTATCAGACCCCCATTAACTCCCCCCTCATGGAGCAGGTAGCCAACACTCCTCCCTTGCAACAGCAAGGGGGCAGCGTGTCTCAAAATAATGACCCTGTGGCACCTCAAGCAAGAGTCATATCACGACATAGATTCTGTAATTATGAAATACGTCAGGTGTTGCGCTTTCCTTCTCCAACCAATTCAGAGGGTGTTGTGGATTATGCTCAGTTTTACAATGGTACACTGGAGCAGGTAGATGCGATTTTACAACAAGCCTTGTCACACAGGAGACCCCAAGATGTGGTGCAGTTGGAGCTAAGAGGTGAAAATCTCCGTAATAATGTATCAGTTATCTTACAGGATGGTGATGTTGACAATTTAGCGGGTTTTGAAAGACTTTTGCTTCGCATAGTACAATCCAATTGGACCATTATGACAGATGGTGATCTAGAACTGGTTCTCCAAGTGATCACCTGCCCTACAGGCGCGGGTAAAAGAGCAATGGTGGATAAAATGTTACAAAGCGAAATCTTAAAAAAAAAACAACGCTTTCTGTACATTGTAGAAAACGAGGGGAATCACTTGTGTTTCGCCGTCTGTCTGGCTCATCTTCTACATCCCCTCCTCAACGATAGACAGGCTCTTGAATGCGGCAGAGAGATTCAAAACAAAGTGGGAATGGATGAACAGACACCTGTAGCCTTAAGCGACATCACGCGATTTGAACGTGCTTTGGACTGCAAAATTGTAGTGTTTTATAGAGGAGACGACGATAGGGCCCTCTGTAAATTCATGACCAAAAGCCCAAGACAGAGTAAAACCCTATTTTTGTTTCTCTTTCAGAACCACTACTATGGTATAAAAAATCTAAAGGCCTTTCTGGGTTCCCCATATCTGTGTGAGTACTGTTACACAGGGTACAACGGTGTGCTGAGTCACCGATGCCCTGCTCATTGTTCCGTTTGCTTTGACCCTACCTGTAATCAGAAGGGGTTCCAGCCTATTGTGTGTAAAGAGTGTAACAGGACATGTCG